ATAATAATATATTTTTTTCACAAATGTAATTTTACTGTGTTTATTAAAGTTTTTACTCAACATTTGTGCAGTTTTTGGAGGATTTTTTATGTCTTTTAAATTTCTATAAATAAATAATTATTTAAATAAGCTTTTTTACAAAAAAGTTAAGTTTTTTCAGTGCTGTAAAAACTAAAATATTTGTACCATATATTTTACGATAAACAACAGCTGCCAGTTTTTTACCGTAATATTTAGATCCCTGCCATAAAACCTAAAACATTACTACCATATTTTTACGGTAAATCGCTTTAATCCAGGCAGTTTTTTAGCGTAAAGTTTGGTTCAATGCCGTAAATCATACATATTTCTACCGGGGTTTTTTTTTTAATGGTAAATGACTGTAAACCACAGATAGCAGTTTTTTAACGTAAATTTAAGTTCAGTGATGTAAAAACAAAATAATTGCTACCGTATTATTTACGGTAAGTTATGGTAAATGCAATGGTAATGCACAAGCAGGCCATAGCAACATGTCAGTCAAGAGCACAGAAATAAACCAGACCTGGACCTTATCTGAGCCACAAAATATGTATATTAAATATGGAGTCATCTCAGCCTCAATAAGCTTCTGCTCATCTCTTTTTCTGTTCTCTTCTTTCATTCAGTAATTCTGCTCGTTAACAGGCTTGTTAAACCTGAGATTATTCCAGATGTATTATACACTGATCTGTCAAAAAGAAGCGGTCTGCCCAAGGGCCGTCATTCCACGCTACATGTGGGCCAGATCATCTATCCACATGTGCCAGATGTGTGCCGGAAATATATTTTATTGTGCTTGTGAAATACATAAAATTAAACTGTAAACATCAACACATTTAACACATGTTATCTAATCAACACACGTTATCTGTCAATCTTACCGATTGGAAACCATATCAGATCGATTATATGGTTTCCCATCAGTACGTTCTGCGATCAGTCTGTCCATAGTTGGCTTTAATAACACTTAATTTTCCCAATAAATCTGACACACATAAAAAGAAAGCAAATTGTAAGATTTAAGCACACAAATGGTCGTAATTCTCCCCCATTCATGTCTCTCTCATACTATCCTATTGGGACGCAAAACGCCAAAACTATATAACTTTAAAAAAACTGAGTTACTCACCACAGCTTTCCACCTCTCCTTCACAGAACAAACACAGACTCGTTATCATCTGTTTACTGTTGATAACCAATGCAGAAATGGGAGCTTACGATCTTAGAAATTTCAAAACAAGCAAGATTAAAAAAACGTATTTTTCTGCTGACGACTGCATGGATTTGTGACAATATTATTGTGGAAATATTGCGGCAAGCGCTGAATTTAATCATAACACCATTATAGATAAAAACCTTAAAGTCAAGCTTTATAAATCCAATTGTAGAAATAAAAAATAAATTCATGAGGAAATGGTGACAAATAGCCGATTCATCTTTTGTTGATCATTATCTTGGCTGATTGCACTAGCAATTTTTTATAATTCTATTGCAACCCATTTTACTGCTTTGTTTTGATCACGTTCAGTCACGTTCATGACCCAATTGAGAGTCCTGAAAATGTCCGGAAAAGTTGTTTCTGTTGTGGGATTGCAAATAACATTTTGGAAACATTACCAAAGACCGTAACTCTGAGTGACATTCTAATAATGTTACTGGAAATAAAACAGATCAGATATTTTAAATTTTGAGTTTTAAAAACATGTAGGAAAAATAACTGCTGCAATGAATCACACTTGGCTCCCAGCATGCTTTGTGGCGTGAAGTGTGATTCATATGCTTATTCTTAAAGGTTCTCAAAGCGATCCTGGGTGTTGACGTTCGAATATTTTCAAACAAATCGGAGGCTAGCTAGACCCTCCCTCCTCCGCATCTCATCTCCTCCCCCTCCCTTCCGTGCTTCCTGAAATAATTGTGAACGTGCATAGTTCTAGCAAATTATATCCTTGTGTGGGTTTGGCGAACGTAAGCGTCAATTTAGAAGAAAAAAAAACAATTTAACGTTACCCACCTGTCCAGCAAAAACAGAGCAACCTTGTCGGACTTCTGCCGCCGGAGTTCTCGCCATCTTTCAAAAGCTTTGCTACCAATGTAAATTCGGAACTTCGCACGTTCTTTATCCGACTCCTTCTTCTTTTTAATTTGTTCTTCAGAACGACGTCTCTTTGGTCGTGTCGGCCATTTTTCAAACTTCCCTCTGATGATACTTCTCTCTCCTTCACACACACACCCCCCCTTCATGTGCACGCGCACTAACCCCCCAGACCCACCCTCAGATACTTCTTGCTAGTGATTGGCTGGAACACTGTTTGTTAGGTTTCGTCGTCCGGGTGAGACATGATTGTTTTTGTTGCCGTTTGTGGAGCCTGTGGTGTCTACAGAGACCGCGTTTTTTTTACAGTGTGTTTAGGGGACCGGCAGCTAGCCGATAGTGAGGAGACGTTTGATTTATGTGACAAAAAATGTTTTGGCCCAGCATCGCTTAGAGAACCTTTAATGCAGTTATGTCTAAAAACAAATAGGCTTTAAAAATCCAAATTCAGAATGTCTGGGGCCGTGTTTACAAAACATGTTGTAATATCTTTTTCTTAATAGGCTGTTACCTATTACAACTTCGCTACACATCACTACAACTTTGATCAAAATATGTAGTTTTATTAACAGAGGGAACAAGGACAGGCTAAACACAACCTGGAAAGCTGTACAACAACACAGAAAACTATGTGAATTCACTGATGACAAACCCCAGAATCAACTGACAGCCCTGATTACAGCCGTAATATATATATATATATATTATATATATATATATATATATATATATATATTATGTATGTATGCCTACATACATTACACAAACACATGCATAACCCTAAACCATTTAAATAAATCAATTGTGTGTGTGTGTGTGTGTGTGTGTGTGTATATCTAATATTATATATATATATATATATATATATATATATTGTATATCTAATATTATATATATATACATATATTGTATATCTAATATTATATATATATATTTATATGATGTTATAAAAAATATTATATACATCAGGTAACCATAAGTTAGCTAACAACGTTAGTGAAGTGTTGGTCACGTAAGCTATCGCTGCAATTAACCTATTATCTTCCAATTAACATTTACTAGATCTGGCTACATAACATATAACTACAGACTAGATTCACGAGAGGTCGGCTAATGTGTGTAAAAGTAAAAAATACAGTAATTTCATTAATTTACCAGCGAGCGTACTTCGGAAGCACTGAAAATGAATGGGGTTCAATGCTGGAACTATCAGCGGTTGGAACTAATGGGCGGGTCCATGACACGCGTTACTTCCGCATTCCTGAGTTACAATGGCGGTCTATGGGACTGTCAGAACTCTCTGAATAGACCCCTTTTGCGCCGACGTCACAGTTACGTCACGGCGCTAGCTGGAGGCAAAACAAAGTGAAAACTGGAGGCGGCCAATACAAAACAGCACAGATTCGGCTACATAATAAGGAGCTTTAATAATTGTTATTATTATTAAATGTCATCTTGTTGTGTTGTTTGGTGCAAGAATTGATGAAAAATGAATATGCTGTATCTGGAACTATTCATTAAAATCGCACTGTAATGTCACTCTTTACATTGTCGTGGTCTCGGTGCTGGCTCGGCAGAACTGCGGATCGTACACACAAGTCTTGTACAGGACCATATAGGCATCTAAAGATTTATATGCCCTCAGTTTCTCTTTACGATCGGTTTCTCTATAAGGTAGGTGTAGAAGTCAGGCCACTCACCCGAGGTAACGTAAGTTAATCCTGTCAGATCGTCCATGCATTGAGTGAGTGTGTAGGCGGCTACAGGTCGGCCAATCTGGTTCCGTCGGTTAAAAATAACTTTTGGAAATGACAATCGCGGTCCTGGACACTGAGTGACCTTACACATTAAGATAATATCGGATTTTCTCCAGTCATTGTTAAAAAAAAACAAGCTAACAATCCTTGCTAACTAGCGTTAGTGAAGCAGCCAGAGGGATCGTTCTGCCTCCACCTAAGCTCCGCCCACGAAAAAACGTCACCATGTTTACCAACTGTAAAAGGGTCTATACATGGCTCTGGCCAGAGCGATCTTTCTGCATCCACCTAAGCCCCGCCCCCAAAAAACGTCACCATGTTTACCAACTGAAAAGGGGTCTGTTTGCCCATAGATTTGAAACGCCATTCACATCGTCGTTACCATATTACAATATGTTTTGTGAAAAACGTCCCAGACATTCTGAATTTGGATTTTTAAAGCCTACACTGTGGATAAAAAAAATCTTTTGACATAATAACTACATTAAGAATCAGCATTTGAATCATATGACACACTTCATGGCGCAAAGCATGCTGGGAGTCACCACAGCATTAAACTCATGGCTCCCAGCATGCATTGTAGAAGTTATTTTTCCTACAGTGTTTTTAAAACACAAACTTTAAAATATCTTTTAAAAGTTTTATTTCCAGTAACATTATTAGAATGTCACTCAGAGTTACCTGCTCTTTGGTTTCCGAAATGTGTAATCCCACAACAGGAAAAACTTTTCCGGAAATTTTTTTAGGACTCTGACTGAACGTGATCAAAACAAAGCAGTAAAATAGGTTGCAATAGAATCATATAAAAAAATTGCTATCAGACAAGATAACGATCAACAAAAGATGAATCAGCTATTTCCTCATGAAGTTATTTTTTATTTCTACAATTGGATTTATAAAACTTGACTTTAAGGTTTTTATCTATAATGGTGTTGTGATGGAATTCAGCGCTTGCCGCAATATTTCCACAATAAAATTGTCACAAATCCATGCAGTCGTCAGCAGAAAAATAGGTTTCGTTTTTTTATAATCTTGCTTGTTTTTAAATTTCTAAGATTGTAAACTCCCATTTCCACATTGGTTATCAACAGTAAACAGATGATAATGAGTCTGTGTTTGTTATAAAAACCATGAACATATATGCCTCCTTAAGAGATTTCCAGAGTTTCCCTTTGATTCCCACATTCAACATGCTGGTGCAAAAGCTAAGCTGGATCATTTGTAAGTAACGATTTAAAATTGACTGAACTGCATGATTTTAACTCTTCAATTCAGTGTTTTAGTTTGTTTCTGTTTGACTTTGATTTTCAGTGCTGCTGTTTCTGAGTCAACATGGTAAGAATGCCAATTGACTAATGTATAATGTATAATTTTCTTTAAACTTTATTATAAACTGTATTATACCTCAATTTTTTATTTAAGTGATTTTACTATATAATCTCTGCAGGAATAGAAGCAGGTGTGATCTGTGAAGGAGGGATTGGCGTCCTCAGCTGTGGTGAGTAACTCAGTATTTATTTATTTAAAGTCATAGTCTTTTGTGTCCCAATAGGATAGTATGAGAGAGACTTAAATCTTACAATTTGCTTTCTTTATATGTGTGTCAGAATACACCTCTGGAACAATACATATTATTCAAGCCACCTATGGACGGACTGATCGCGTAGCATGTGTTAAAGGGATCCCGTGGTATCAGACCTTAAACACGCGCTGCAGAAGAACAGTCACTAATACAGTTTCTCATCTGTAAGATTTACAGACTCGTAGTTTACAAGAACAAGAAAAATGTATTTCTAATGTCTATAAAGCTATTCTTAAGTACCTATTTTCTGTCTATGATTCAGGTGCAATGGAAGAAAGACGTGTGTTGTTCCTGCATCAAACTCACTTTTCGGCAATCCTTGTATTGGAACTGTTAAATACCTGGACTTGACTTATTTATGTCGGCCATGAAGTAAGCCAATTGTTTTATATGTACAATTGCATAAATACATTTTGATTTAATATGAATTAATTGAGATTAATGGTTGAATTGAATTAATGATCAAAACTTATTTAGCTTTAGATAAGCTGCTCACGATAATAAATAATAATCATTGTTTCTGCTGTTTTTTTTTTCTTTATAAGGTGTACTGCAAAGACATCTGGTCAACCGCTTCAAACTCTGATCCATGACAGTGTGTCAATAAGTATCTGAAAGTGATGTACAGCTGTATATAATTTTGTTTGTGCTGCTGTTTTTTTATGTTTTGTGTTATAAATGGAAATGGTCCCTATTATAGATGTTAGATGCCACTATATAATAATATTGTATTTGGTCTATCCATTCACTCCTCAGTGAGACAATATACAATACATTGAGATATGGGGTTCAGAAAAAATTTAAAATTCATAACGAATCTCATTTTACAACTTCCATTTTTATTATGGAAATGATCATGTGTCAATGTGAATAATGGGAAGCAAAATGTCTCAAGTAAAATTTCCAGATGCTTGACTGGACTTGAAATGTCAAATACAAACACACCTTGATCCTAAAATGCTTTATTTTTGTAAATGAATGTAATTTTCTTTTGAGGTGAATATTATCTCATTAATCCATCACTATTATTTTTCTATAGACTATTGTTTTATTGCTATATACAAAAGGTACAGCAATATTAATAAATGTAAACATTCATTTAAGTTTTTACAACTATTAAGGGTAGACATGTCCAGTCAATCAGACACTATTATATCTACATAAATGTATTTAAAAATAATGTTTAAATTAATATAATGTTTATCATATTAATGGAAAATAATCATGTTATCTGGTGAGAAAACAACTCAAATTCTTGTAGAAAAATCTACAAAAACTCAGTTTTTTATTTCTTTTAAAGCAGTTTTGTAAACATTTGTATTGTAAAAATCACCAAAAATAAATAATGTGTAAATGTTGTAAAACTTAAGTACACTATAAAACAATTCTGTCTGACTTCAGTTTTCTTGACAGCCACACACATATACCTTGAAGATCATGTTAAAAAAAACAATAGTTATAATAGCATGTCAGAATAGTTTTTGATTGCTTCCACTCATATAAACTGATCATGAAGTTGGCAGCTTCCCATTACTAATCACTCTAAAGTGTAAACTACTGTAAAAATGAAAACGACTGATCTGTTAAATCTAATCAATAAAATTGAGGCAACAGATTACAATAAATATTATTAATTAAATTTAACAAATTAGAATGAAGTAATAATTAATCAAACAATGAATTAAAAGTTAACCATCTAAATTGAGTAAAATTTACACATTTTGCTATAAACAAAAATATCTAAATAACAGACTGATGTCAAAAATGAATTAAGAACTCTTTTTTTATTCCCATTATTGAAGACACCTGATGTTAACAAGCAGAATCACTGAAAAAGAAAACCGTGATTTTTAAGTCACCATTATAGAGATCAGTGTGTGTTTTAGTTGGGCTCTTGCCCCTTAAATTGTTAACTTTAGATGTTGTTTGTTTGTTATACGTGAATCATAATAGACAGACGAACCAATAGAGAAGGTGATCTGATGGTGTTGGTTATGTTGGTTACGCAATCATTTGACCTGAATCACTGAACTCATGTAGAACCCAGTTTCTGACTAAGGTTTATAGCATCATTGGCCTTGGACAGCATCATATTTTTAGCATTTTCAATGAAACCAAATGATCAAAACAATAAAAACCTTAAGAAATTAAGAAATTATTTTATGTAGGCATACACAGACATCAAGAATTAGCGTATGAATCTAAGCAATGGTGACAAACAGATCACCTCTGATCATAAGCTCATTATTTATTCATGCAGCAATGCATGATGGGAGCCATGAATGAGTTTTGATTGGTGGTAGGGCTGGGCAATATATTGCAGGATATTGTTATGCGCATCTAATCAGTAAAGCCGGTTCCTTGATTAGTAGTAAATCACCTTCACCTGCTTTCAGATGGAAGATATGATGCAGATACGAGTGTTAAATTAGCACTCAAGAGTGTTAAAGATAATGAGATAATTAAGTGATTGTATTATATAATTGATGAATTTAGTGATGACTGAGCATCATTGAAGACACCTGACGTTAACAAGCAGAATCACTGAAGGAGAAAATCACAAATTGTAAGCCACCGTTATGGCGATTAGTGTTTGCTTTAGTTGGGGTCTTGACCCTTATACTTTCAGTATAAATTTTGTCCGTCTGCTGTTATTGATTAATAACAGTCAAATGAACAAAGAAAAGTGAGATCTGATAGTGTTATGTTTCGACATAAAAATGCTGTGATCTGAAAAATGGAACTTATTCAGATGATTTGGTTTGACTTGTTATCAACAGTTTAGTGGTTATATGATAAATTGTATTTTTCTTATAATCCAAAACTTTTAATAAAAATTGTTCTGATCAAATCACTTTCATCTATATCTAGAAACACAGACATCAATGATCAGCCTGCGTATCTCAACCGTGGTGACAATAATAATCCTTGTTGCCACCAATCACAACTCATTAATGGCTCCCATCATGCATTGCGGTATGAATAAATTATGATCAGAATTGTCTATGTAATTTACTTTTCCTAACTGAATATTCTGCTCGTCTGCTGCCATTATGGTGATCAGTGTTTGGTTTAGTTGGGCTCTTGACTCTTAAATCATTAACTTTAGATTTAGTTTGGCTGCTGTATGTATTCAGTTTGCCACTGAAACTGCTTAACGCACCAGTGGGGCTCGACAGCCTTTTAGACAAACGGGTCGGCGCGTATGGTTGGGTTGCGGAGAGTTCAGGTAACGGAGAGTTTGTGAGTTATAACGGAAATCATTATGAACATCAGCTATGCTAATTATTTCCCATCTGCCTTTCTGCTGTTATCTCGGGACGCTTGTCCCGAGAAAAATGGCGTTCGTCAGGTCCAGTTTTGTGTCCAGCCTCTCACAGGGATTTCGGATGCCCCAACGCCTGTGATGAGACGACTCAACGCCTGTGAAGAGACGACTCAACGCCTGCGATATGTTATGGCGCCGTCTTATTCATAAACAATATTTATATTTAATATTTATATTTAAACAATATGAATGTAAGCCAGAGGAGAACTGGCCCCCGACTGAGCCTGGGTTCTCCCAAGGTTTTTTCTCCATCCAATCTGATGGAGTTTGGTTCCTTGCCACTGTCGCCTTGCTTTTGGCTTGCTTTGAGCTTGCTCAGTTGGGATTATTTAGTGTTTAGCAATGTTGTTGATCCTGTGTTGTGCTACTTTCATGTTATCAGTGTGAAGCTGCTTTGATACAATCTGTATTGTGAAAAGCGCTATATAAATAAATGTGACTTGACTTGACTTGACTTGTGTCTCAACACAATCATTAATTGACTTGAATTGCTGAACTCATCAAGAGCATAAATTCCGAGTTAAATTTACCTTAAGGATTTTAGCAGCACGGTCATTTTAGGACATACCATTTTAAGCATTTTCAATGAAAAACGATAAAAAAAATCCCCAAAATATTTTATATAGGCATACACAGACATCAAGAATTAGCGTATTAATCTCAGCAATGGTGACAAACAGATAACCTCTGAACATAAGCTCATTATTTATTCATGCAGCAATGCATGATGGGAGCCATGAATGAGTTTTGATTGGTGGCACCCAGAATGCAATGCAACATGCTTTATAATTAATACTATTGTTGAGATTCACAGGCTAATTATTGATGTCTTAAAATTGTAGAGAAGTAAAAAATTGTATAAGAAAAGCTTTTATAAGAAATTATTTGAATACTTTGTAGAAGTTAAAAATATTATGCTGTACAAGGTCACTGCTGTAATAATTAATAAAGTAAACCTAACTCAGAAATTAGGCTCTATATGAATTTAGTGATTCAGGTCAAATGATTGTGAAATACTGATTATGTTAAAACACAACCATCATCTTTTCTATTTGTTCATCTGGCTGTTATAAATCACATACAGCACCCAAACTAAATCTAAAGTTAATGATTTAAGGGTCAAGAGCCCAGCTAAACCAAACGCGTATCACCATAATGGTGACTTAAAAATTCCGGTTTTCTCCTTCAGTGATTCTGCTTGTTACATCAGGTGTCTTCAATAATGCTCAATCATCACTTAATTATTCACTTAATTATCTCATTAACTTTAACACTGCTTCAGTGTTCATTTAACACTCTGCTCAGAGTTTATATAATTCACACTTCACAGGGTTAATTTAACACTGGGGATTTTGCTGTGAGAGGATGTGGATAAATATTTGGAAGGAGGTTGAAAGTACCAAAACTAGATAAGACTAAAGTAATTCCACAAGAAATGAAAGTTGAGGATGAAGTCGGTTCAAAGGGTGAAAAAGAGAATGATCCAGGTACTACAGGTCCACTAATCTTGACCTTGTGGGTTTTTGTGAGAGGATTTTTTTGACTGGAATAAACCACACTAAATGGTAATTTTCTGTAGAGAGAGTATATTGTACACAGTGTGTAATGTTGGGCTAAACTGCAGTGATGTGATGAGCGGACAGATGTACGGCACTGATATCATGTTGGTATGTTTATAAATGTTTATGTATGTGTAGTGATGTTTTTATAGGTAGGATGTTTTTATATAATTTTCCAGCCTTGACTGAACAATAATGTAGTATTCTATTCTATTCTATTCTATTCTGGAGACGGGAGAAATTACCTGTTAAAAAAAGTAGGCTAAGTCCTTCCAAAGAAGAGAAATTAATATTTTATTAATAGTGGAGATATTACTATTGGCTTGATTTCTTTTATTATTTATTTGTCAGGAGCAAAATAACATTCTGCACAGTGAAAAGCCTACAGGTTAAAAGCTTCACATATTAGAAAAATAGCTACAATAAAAAAAATGTAAAAAATTATTCGCTTGTTGTCAAAGTTGTTTCAGATCAACACCTGCAAGTAACCACTAGGTGTCACAGTGGAGAAGGGATTCGAAGCCTCGACACAATCTGGCACATTTGGTTCAACTGTTTCATTGCTTCACGAAGCCTCGATCTGCCCACTACTATCAAAATCCATAAGCAATCCATACTCGAAAAACAAAACAGGCAAGAACACAGAACTCAGAAGTGGTGAGACAAATAACAAGGACTCCGTAACAAACACTAAGGCTATGTTTACATGCAAACGATCTGAAGAGAGAACGCAAGTGGCGTTGCGTTATGACTTTTTATTCTACGTTTAGACGAGCGTTATGGGTGGGAAATCCGCGTACATATGGTGACACAAAAGTGTGTGAAATTCGATGTAGTATGCACTCCAGGCGGCTAGGTGGCGATGTGAAGCACTGCCACACAACACCACCAAGTCCGCGCGCAGACTTTTGCGTTTTTACCCTTTTTAGACGGGAACGCGACGGTGGAAAGTTTTTAAGATTTACACTCTGGAGGGTGGTTTCAGTTTTTTTTTTTTTTTCAAGCCCCAAAAATGCTGTCGGCGTGTAAACGAAAGGCACATCCGATAAAATATATCGTATTCACCCGCGAACAGACAGGGTATTTAACAAGGAACAGCTGGGTATAATGATGACGGGGGTCAGGGTATATTCTTGCAAATCGTTTTCCAATCACGTCTAGCAATCAGCAAAGCAAGCAGTGGTATACGCCATTTACCAACAAGCGATGCGTAATTCGCAAAGCACAATGCTACTTTCTGTTTCCCCAGCACGATACCATAGAACGGCATAAAGCAATTGGTTTGAGAAGTAAGAGGTGGGCATCAGTTAAAATATTTCAAAGTTAAAGTTCAGGCAAACAGATTTTAGTCAAATATTGATTGTTTATAGCTGAATTAGTGGAGCGCAAAATACACAACCGTTTTTATTGGTTTATAAAACAGCAATCTTGCCTGTATAGCAAGGTAAAGAGTATTGGACTTCGGCAGATAATTATTACAGAATAAAACAGTAAAGATCCATAGAAATCTTCAACGTGGTAGTCAGTGAGAAGAAGAACAAGAATCTGCTGGAGTTTGCAGAAAATAATATGATTTACATTTTTATGAATTTATAAAATGTGCCTATATGTCAAGGTACAGTACTGGACTTCGGCAGGCAATAATTACAGAATAAAACAGTAAAGCAACATGAACATCACCACAGCTGTAGTCCGTGAGATGTAGAACAAGAATCTGGTGGAGTTTGATAAAAAAAAAACAATTTTATTTTGTTTATTTTTTTTTTTAGAATTTTTTTTAAAGTCTGCCGAAACCAAGCGCATACACCTTTAGCCTAACACGCAACCTTGTGTAGACGCGCAATGTATTTTTAACCGTAGATGGCGTGACCGCGCTTGTCCAGAGCACAGATGGCGTGACCGCAGTCAAACACTGCAGGTGTTTATACTTGATGCGCTCGCCGTTATGCTATTCTTTGAAAGAATAGCTCATTCTTTGGCCACATTCGGCTCGAAGTCGTGCATCTTCGGATGTGGAGCCGCACGCGCTGTTACAAAATCTGCCACGCACATCGCCAAACAAAATGGGCCCTAGCGCAACTTCGCGCTCGTGCGGACGCAGCGAGTATAAACAAAGCTTGAGGCGCCAGAATGGCAGCTGATAAAATGTGCGCTGTAGTATGATACGATACTACCATATTTCTAGAAAAGCAGGTTGTGGAGAGTCATTAACCATCCACGATAAAAATTAATGATATTGCATAAGCACAAGTCTATTAAACGACTGTTATCATGTCTGAAAACAAACACAAGTAAACACAAGTTTACAAAACTGTATTGAACACCTGCTACAGGGGTACAATCTATGTCTGATTTAATTGGTCAGACGACACAGTTTCACTGCTGCCTGTCTACCTAATCCAATCATGGCGTAAAGCGGCTGAGTGAATGTGGCCTGGACTCTGTGGATGAGACTCATTGTGTCCGAGACGCTGTAGAAGGACAAAATCTCTGCGCCGTGATCCACATACACTCCTATTCTACTGGAGACATTGACTACAGGAAGAACCGTCTCAATGTTATTGTGCCAGAATGAACAGTAGTCTGGAGAGCAGAACAAACACCACGACTGATTGTTTCGTCCAGCTGCACTATCAGGACCATCTCCCTTCCTGCTGATGCTCTTATACGTCACTGATATAGCCACTCCTGAATTCCCTTCTCCAGCCCACTCCACCTCCCAGTAACAGCGTCCAGTCACACTCTCTCTACACATCGCCTGCTGCCAATAATCAAATCTGTCTGGATGATCAGGATACGGCTGACGTGTGTCAGTGACGGTGATCCTTGTGTTTCCCTCAGACAGACGGAGCCAATTATTCACTGAGTTCAGATCCAGAGTCAACAGACAAGAATCTGATGGAGAGAAAAACCTCTCAATTATTTGTGACCTTGTGTTGAAAAGTTTTACCTCTAACTGGCAAAATCATCAATAAAACCTCCTCAATCCAGTTCAACCCATCAAGAAGAATTGTATTATGGCCACAACTATTTTGATAACTGATTAGATGGATAAAAACACTCATATTCGCCTCATGATTTCTTTCTCCCCCCATGTAATGTCAGTCGAGGCAGAAAGTTTGATCGCTTAAATGCGATCTCTGTATCAAACATGCTTGTTCTCCGTCTTTCAGCCCAGTGCTAGTATCTTTTTTATTTTTTAGATCTACATTATGTTAATAGAGATATGTATGTATGAATGAAGGTTTATTTACAGAGATATAGGTTTGACCTTCAATAATAGCAGAGTGTCTTCATGCTGTTGCTTGATTACAACCAAAGCCAAGAAAGAAACAACTGTAAACAACTGTTTTTACTACTGTAACATTTTTCAGTCAGTGTCATAAATGCATGTACATGTACTTGTACTATTAATTAAGCATAACAATCTCTAACTCTAATGGATTTTAGACTTGTGTGTGTGTGTGTGTTTTATAGTAACTCACACAGTAGAAACTCCTCTCTGATCTGATATTCAGGAGACTGAATGACCTGGACGGTTTTCACTACGGACACCAAAACACATCTGCAGTTTAATTATCATATCAAGAGGAAATTAAATATACATCCACCTATATATTTAAGTATATTAATTTTGGAGCATAAATTACTGTACGTTTACAAGTACATTAAATGTCAGATTTCCATTGAGCGATCGCAATAATTTGACTTTTTAAAATGTAATGTAAACACATTTTAGCAAAACTGGACAAACAGATCTGCACTGTAAAAAATAAAATCGTAAAAAGGGGTCGATTGACTGGCAGCATAGGGCCAAATGCCGTAACCAAATGCCAAACAAATGGCGTAAAAATAAAGTAAAATATCCTAATTTAAATTAAGCGCAAAAAAAAAACATTTAAAGGATATTTTTCTTAAATGTTTTACAGAAGGCTTTGTTGATTGTCACCATAGTCGAGATTCATATATTGATTATTGATGTCATACTTCTAAAAAAACAGCTCAAACATTTTCTTTACAATAGATAGTTTTCTTAAATTTAAGATTAGAAAATATTGTTTCAATATTTCAAGGTTCATGGGGAAAGTACGACAATCATTTTACTTTAGTTTTACTTTAATGTTACAGTTTTTTTGCTGCTAGTCATGTAATCATTTAACTGTTTTGTTACTGTTTAATTACAGATTATATTTGTAATATAAAATAGAAAAATAATCCCCACACTCCAGAAACAGAGGTGACGTGTGTGAAAGATTTACAAGCAAGGTATTTTACTCAGACAGACATATTAAGAAATTAGCATGACTATGCAAAACCTGCTAAAACCTACTAAAGTACCTGTTCCAGATATGTTTTGTGTCTCCTCGCTGCAGAACTGCAGAAGTTTGTCTCTGAGTTGAGAGACAGATTTCACTACATCATCAAAAGACAGACGAGAACTGAAAGTGAAGCCGTCTGTAGATCCAGAGAGAGAGACTGATGACAAACTCTACAGACACAAAGACAAAAACACAAACTCGCTGTATTTCCAGAAGCTTGTTAAAGTCCTCAGTGTTTGAGAAGATCTGTGTTACCTGGAGGAAATGAACATGATCATGTGTGTGTGAAAGATCCTCCAGCTCTGCGTCTCTCCTCCTCAGATCATCGATCTCCTGTATCAGTCGCTCCAGTCGTTCTTCAGCTCGACTCACTGCAGATCGTTCCTGATATCTGATCAGCTGCGTCACCTCTGAGCGACGTCTCTCAATGGAGCGGATGAGCTCAGTGAAGATCCTCTCACTGTCGTCCACTGCCGTCTGTGCAGAGCGCTGTTACACACACACACACACACACACACACACACACACACTGGCTTCAGTGGGATTAGAAGAGCTCCATCACTGGAGGAAAGTCCAAACTGAGACTCAAGCTTCCCTTCTTCTCCAAACTCACCTTATGAGACTCCACAGCCTCTATCAGCTCCTGGAGATCTTCCTCTCTTTGCTTGATTCTCATCTGGATGTTTCCCTGCATTTCTTCAAAATGTCTCTGCAGAAAACCGAAAATTGAATCTACATTACCATTAAAATATTTGGGGTTTGATCACTCATCATGGGATCCAGTACGAAGCAGTACCTGTTTCTCTGTCCTCGCTGCTGCAGTTGATACAGTGTCATGATTCCTGTGTTCATCCACCAAACACAGCACACAGATACACAGCTGGTCGGTATAGCAGTAAATGTCCAGCATTTTACCATGTCGAGGGCAGATCTTCTCCTGCAGTCGTCCAGTGGCGTCCATCAGATTGTGTCCTTTACTTCTGAAGAGACTCTCATGCTGTTCAAGGTGAATTTGACAGTAAGAGCTTCGACACTCCAGACACGACTTCACTGCTTTCTGTTTTCTTCCAGTGCAGGAGTCGCACTGCACATCTCCAGATCCAGTGTGAGGATGATGACGAGGAGCAGAAACAGGAGGAGGAACATGAGTAGATTGGATTCTCATCGCGTTGAGTTGCTCCACCATCCCAGCAAACACCACATTCTTACTTAAAAGTGGTCTTGGTATGAAGGTTTTTCTGCACTGAGGGCAACTGTAGATTTCCTCCTGATCCCAGTAGTCTGAGATACATCTCTTACAGTAACTGTGTCCGCAGGGAATAGTCACTGGATCCTTCAGGAGATCCAGACACACTGGACAGCTGAACTGATCCTCAGCCCATGAGAAACTGGCTTCTGCCATTTCTCCTTTTAAATACATAAATAGAGAGATGATGCACACTTCAGTTTGACAGTCGAGTTCCTTCAACTGAGGGGTTTATTCAGAATATCTTCCCAATGATATGGCTAAGAAACAGGTATTGTGTGTAAAATACTAAAATACTTTAATATTAATATGATTTAACTCTTTGCAATATTGATTTTGTTTTAATAGTACTTGCATCACCAACTAATATATAAAGGTTACGGCACAATATTATAATGATGAGACTGATGTCTAATATATCGACTCAATACATGTTTTAAATTAATTTCATATGTGCAATTCTTTATATGCAGAATTCACAGTTTAGTTCGGTGAATAAACAAGGAACTATACACACACACACTGGTTAATAAATTGAACTAAACACAGATGACAAACTAATCAGTAACTACAGAAACCAATGAGAACATACACACTTCGAAGAAAACATAGAAGCTTAAAAGGTTCTGTCCGGCTTTTTGTATAAAGGACCCATCATATGATTATTTTACAGACTTGGTTTTAATTAATTAGTTTTGTAAGTTAGTTTTGTGTTAGGACATTTCTTATTATATAGAACATTTTTGGCACAAAGATTTCTTTAAAATTGACTGTGTAAAAAAGGCCTCTCTCTCCTACTGTAAGATGCCTCGCTTCACCTGAACTTGTAGCCAATCGCAAGTTGATTCAGGATCGCTGCACGCGGAAAGCATTCTGTCAGAGACTTCGTCTGAAGCGCATCCTAGCCACACAAGCTCATTCAACTTCAACTTCAACTACATTATTCGGTGTGCGTCCTTACAAAACCACACTTAATTGTACCAATTCAATCATGCAGTTGTGAATTCAATAAATACTTCAAACGAAGAAATCTTGTGTGATTCTGACCGATCACCCGCTGTGAGCTCTAACTAACGATCCACCAACTATTTAAATCAAAGAAGCCAGTCCTCTTCTGTACAAAGTGGTCCTTCGAGCCACATCCAGAGCCTGCAGCGGATCAAAATGTCCATCTCTGATAAAGATCTAGGAGGTGCAAGATCTAGGAGGCAGCGGTCCCTCCCTAACTACTTGCAAGATTATGATTTGTCTGATCTCCCGTCCAGATCTCAAATCCAAAAGTCTTCTGAGTCACAGTCCAGAGAGCGGCAAGACGAAGAGGGCCACAGCAGACCTGAATCACGCTCTCCATCTCCAGAAAGTCAGCTGCACCACAGCCCAGCGCGACGGTCAGATATTGATAAAGAGGAATCTTCTGCGGATGAGTGGAGAAGAGAGTGCCATATACTAGAGCGTGAAAGGGAAGATCTCATAGCATTAATGGAGGAATTAAAAATACAGAACGGAGCACAGTAATTCCCGTTCAGAGCCACGTACTGTGATGGCCAGAGATAGACTTTACCGAGAAAGGCTGGATTATGGAGGTGCTTCAACCAGGTATAAATCAGTCTACTTCCGGGACAGAGAGACTCCACCACAACGATCCTCGGACAGTCGTTATGGTTACAGCAGAGAAACAAAGGACTACAGGGAATCAAAACGGTATGACTCTCCCTCACCTGAACGCTCCCCCGAGCTAGTATGCAACAAGCACCAGGCCCCGCGACGAAGCTATGAGTCCAGGGAAAGGCACTACAGTTCTCATTATAATTATGAGCAGTCCAGATGCCGCCACTCACCTGAAAGCCACGCTAGACCAAGAGATTCTTGGGATTCCTTCCGAGAATACAGAAAACCATCATGCAGAGAGGTGACTACTCTTCTGCACGCTGCTGCGGCTACTCTCCAGACCGGCGTGAGAGGCATAGTTCCCCTTCACCTCCGCACGAGCCAAGGCGTCGACGTTCAGTGACTCCCCCTGGTGGACAGGAAAGAACATACAGAGGGCCCACTCCTACAATCCCGAACTTCGACCGTTCAAATCCAAGAGACTTTGCGAGACTTCGTATTGCCCTAGACAATCTCCTTCCTAGAGATGCCACTGAACGTTTTAAGTTCCAGATATTAGTGGATCATCTGAAGCTGGAGGAAGCATTGCTGGTGGCAGATTCTTATAGCAATTCGATTACCCCTTCACTGACACTATGGCAGCTTTAAACCAACAGTATGGGCAGCCACACCAACTCACCCTTCAGCGGATTGCTGAACTGATGGATAGCCCCAACATTCAGAGTGGAGACATCAAGTCATTCAGGTTGTTCGCCTTGAACGTCAGATCCCTGGTGAGCATGCTGGAACAACTCGGTTTAAAGGGGCAAGTTGAGCTGGACTGTGGTTCTCATGTCTCCCATCTACTGGGCAAGCTACCACACGAACTGAGGTCCAGTTTCAGGCGCTACATCCACCCTCTCCGCATTCCTATTCCTACTCTTCTGGACCTAGCAGATTGGTTGGAATATGAGCTTCAGATTCAGGAGGATATCGCTCAATATCGTTTGAGAAAGGATACTGGACCTAAGCCCAGAGACTCTAAGCATACCCTTAAGTCGTCACCTAGGGCCTCAGTCCTCATGCTGGGGGCTGAACCCAAATCGGTTAAAGGAGCAATGTGTGATTTTTAGTGACATCTAGTGGTTCGGTTGCGAGTTTGCACCAGGTTTGCACTAAGGGCTCCGCCCACTGCTCACCCCTCCCTTTGGAAGAAGCTACGGTTGCTAAAACGGGACAAACATCTCGTCGGCTGAGACAGCAGAGAATAGCCAGAGTAAGCCAAGAGTGTGTAACATTGTCACTGTTTCTGTACCACAGTCCATTATAAACCACATCATGGATACTGTTTACAAAGCCAGTCAGGTGAGGATCAAGGGTTTTAATATATAATTTAATATAATAATATTAATCAGCTGATTGTCTCACAAACGTAACCAGCAGCACATTTCTCCCCACATACTGTAGCAAACCCATAATACAGCGAGGGAGCAGCTATATATTTTTTCTAACAGGGTAGTAATAGTTTAGCTGGCTAATATGAGCTGTTACTGTGGCTGAGCTGGGACGCGTCCGCATGAGTCCAAAGGTCGGAAGTGCGCGCGCTGTTACAATCATGTCATCTCCGCATCCCATAAATACTATTTACTACACACAATAGGCTTTTTTCTCTGATTTTGAAAACTCTTCGCGATCGACTTTAGTGATAAAAGACTTTAGTAAAAGTCTCTATCGACGGGTTAGTGATTCCTGTAACGTACTGTTTTACGGTCAATGACATGAATACTAATCATCAGCTGTCTCACGAACGTAACAGCACATCTATCCCCAACATAACAAACCCATAACACAGCGAGGGAGAACTAAGTTACATGAAACAATCCTAACTACATATTTTACACCACTCACAAGGGAAAAAACACTACTCACGGAGTGTAAGGCTAGCTTCCAGCTTTCCGCTACTTCTCTTTCAAGGTAGTGATGAAACGCGTTCTGTAGCGCTGTTTGTTCGCGTTCGGCTACGGTAGGAATATGACGTCACAACATGGCGACCTTCATAGAAGGGGATTCCCTCGGTTATGGAGCTATTAATGTCTCATTCTAAGGTAATAAAAACATTACGGTTAATTAAGTAAGTTCTTTATACACCACTGAAAACATAGTTATGGATGTCATATTGCATTTCTGTTAATAGATAATCAACTTATTTACACATTGCACCTTTAAGGAGCCGGCCAGATCCACTCCCTCAACCAGTCTAGGTACAAAGAAGTTCTGCACATTCTGTGAGAACTACAAGCATACTCTGAATAGTTGTGCAAATTTCAAACTGCTCACCGCCACCCAGAAACGTAACTGGATTTAGGACAACCACCGATGATGGCGATATGGCAGAGAACACAGATCAGCTGAATGTGATTTGAAGATGTGCTGTAAAACATGCAACAGCCGACACCTGCTCGCTTTGCACGATGTCAGCGAGAGAAGTCTAGACAAGACAGACAAATCTGAGAGAAGACCTGATCAGGTAAAGTCCAAAGAGAGCAAATCTTTGCCTGTACCAAGTGCGGACCAAGTGCTATACATTGGCAAGCCACCGCAGGGCCATCGTGTACTTCTTAAGGTCAGTAAAGTTATCCTCCGCCATGGTGATCAGACTCTAGAGACATACGCCATGCTAGACGACGGCTCTGAACGTACCCTGCTCCTCCAACCAGCTGTCAAACAACTGGGACTTGAAGGCCAACCCGAGGATTTGCCTCTGCGTACCGTCAGACAGGAGCTGCAAACGTTCTCCAGGCATGGTCTACAACATCCACGGAGCCTTTACTGCACCCAAGCTCGGTCTAGGCCAGCACACGTATCCCTTTAAAGCACTGCAGAGCAAGTATGGACATTTGAAGAAGCTTTCTATTCATTCATTCAAGGACGTTGTCCCTCTAGTGCTCATTGGCTCAGATCATCCCCACTTGTTGACTCCAGTTGAGCCAGTTATCTTTGGTCCCCCTGGTGCACCGGTTGCTGTCCGCACCCGTCTTGGATGGACGCTGCAAGGTCCTACCAATACTTTAAAGCAGTACCTTATCGAACAACGCTGTCTTTTCACCACCTCCGGGGCACCTCCAGCTGACATCTACCAGCATGTTGAAAGACTGTGGCAGCTGGACATCCTTCCATGGCGCAGCGAGAAGACCAGTATGAGGTCATGGCAGGACAAAGAGGCCCTCGAATGCTTGGATAAACATACAGTGCGAGTAGACGTTGATGGTGTCCATCGCTATGCAACGCCTCTCCTCCGTGTTAGGAATTTCCCTCAGCTCTGCGCACCAAAGGAGGCAGTACTTCCTCAGCTTCGAAATACTGAAAGGCGGCTGTTGAAGAACCCTGAGGCGGCCCAAGTCTACAATGCAGAAATTCAGAGACTTGAACAGGCCGGCTATGTGGAGAAACTAACTCATGGCACAGAAAACACCTCAAGCAGCTGGTACATCCCTCACCACCTTGTTGAGCATAACGGCAAGCACAGAGTGGTTTTTAATTGCTCTTTCCAATACAGCGCCACCGACTTGAACAAACTCTTGCTCCCTGGTCCAACCCTTGGTTCACCTCTCCTGTCAGTTCTCTTGCGCTTCAGAGAACATTGTGTGGCCTTCAGCAGTGACATACGGGGGATGTTTCACCAGGTCAGGCTCCTTCCGGAGGATGAGCCTCTCCTCCGCTTCCTCTGGAGGGAGCTCAAGCGTGATGAACAACCCACAGTCTAACAGTGGAAGGTGCTTCCCTTCGGCACTACCTGCAGCCCCTGCTGTGCTACATACGCCCTACAGAAGCACGTTACCGACCATACTCAGCCAGCTGATGCAGTGAGAGCCTCTGTGTTAAGACATTTTTATGTGGATAACTGTCTTCAGAGTGTGCCTACAGTTGAAGATGCCAAGTCTATCATCGACAAGCTGCAGACTCTCCTTGTCGACGGAGGCTTTGAGTTACGCCAGTGGGCCAGCACCCATCCAGACACCATCCGTCACCTCCCTGCTGAGGCAAGATCGGCTAGTGCTGAGAAGTGGATAGCCCAAGGTCACCCAGGTCAAGAGGAATCAGCCCTGGGCCTGCAGTGGGACTGTAGAGAAGACACCCTATCCTTCAAGTGTCGAGAGGCTATAGCCACTGAAGAAGTTGTCACCATGTGTTCCATCTACAAAGTGGTGTCAAGTCAATATGACCCCCTTGGCTTTCTAGCACCACCAGGGCCAAAGTGGTCATTCAACACCTGTGGGACAAAAGGCGGGACTGGGATGACCCTGCTCTGCCGGATCATTTGCTAGCCGCATGGAGAGAGTGGGAGGATGAATTACCTCACCTACAGAGCAAAGCACTTCCAAGGTGTTACACCAGCCGTGAGTTAGACTCTCCTACCTGTGAGCGTGAGATCCATGTGTTCTGTGATGCCTCAGAGAGAGCCTATGGCTCTGTGGCATACCTCAGAACCAAGAATCCTCAGGGAGTCATCCAAGTAGCTTTCGTCACTGCAAGATCCAGGGTTGCTCCAAAAAAGCAGCAGTCAATTCCTCGCTTGGAGTTATGCGCTGCTCTGACCGGAGCACAAATGGCTCAGATCCTCAAATCTGAACTCACACTATCCATCAAGCGGGTGGTTCTTTGGTCGGACTCTACTACCGTGCTCCAGTGGCTGCAGTCAGAGTCATGCCGATATAAAGTGTTCGTTGGCACACGTGTTGCAGAGATTCAAGATCTCACCGAAGGCGACACCTGGCGGTATGTGGACTCGGCACAGAACCCTGCCGATGACATAACGCGTAGTAAGCCTCTCAACACATTGACACCTGACAGCCGCTGGGGTCAAGGCCCAACCTTCTTGTGGTGTGACCCAGAAAAATGGCCACAGAGTCCTCAGATCCAGACAGAGGCAGATCAGAGTGAAGAGTTCAAGAAACCTCCATTCTGCGGCCTCACAACTACCACGCCAAGTCATCTCCCTGATGCTAAGCAGTTCTCTTCCTTCAAGGACTTCCTGACTGCCACAACTAAGACTCTACATGGGGCGGCCCCAGGCAACGTCACAGCCTACAGACAAGCCCAGCTGACTCTGCTACAGCAGGTCCAACAAGACAGTTTCCCCATGGACTATGCCCAGCTGCAATCAGGAAAACCAGTCGCCAAGAGCAGCAGACTCCTCAAGCTGGCACAAGAGTTCGACCACAGAGACAAGCTTATTCGTGTTGGCGGACGTCTGCGTCATAGTAACCAGCTGGAACTGAATACTGTTCACCCGGTGGTGTTGGATGCCAAACACCCAGTCACACAGTTGATCATCCAAGATTATGATTACCATCTGCACCATCCAGGCCCAGAGAGGGTCTTCTCGGAGATGCGCGCAAGTATTGGATACCAGGAGGGTCAGAAATGGCGCGGAAAGCCACAAATCCCTAAAATGGCCGACCTGCCTCCATCCAGAGTCCGACTTTTCAAGCCAGCATTTTACTCAACAGGAGTAGACTGCTTCGGTCCGTACTCGGTAGCGATTGGAAGGAGGAATGAAAAGCGCTGGGGGATAATCTTTAAATGCATGACCACCCGAGCTGTGCATTTCGATCTGCTCTCCAGTTTGAATGTAGACTCATTCATCATGGCTCTGAGACGGTTCGTTGCCCGGAGAGGAAAGCCGTTTCAGACCAGGGGACTAACTTCAGAGGTGGCGATCGTGAGCTCCGGGAAGCATTCGCCGATCTTGCTCCAGACATCAAAGCTCAACTCGCCTCCCAGCAGATTGACTGGAAGTTTAATCCACCTAACGCCCCCCACTTTGGCGGCTGCTGGGAGCGAGAGATACGCTCAGTAAAACAAGCCCTGCAAGTAACCCTTGGAGCTCAGCTTGTGACAGATGCGGTACTGAGAACCCTACTAGTTGAGATTGAAGTGATTCTTAATTCCAAGCCGTTAGGCTACACATCTGCAGATATCGCCGACTCTGACCCGATAACTCCCAACTCCTTGCTCATTGGGCGGCCAGATGCTTCTCTCCCGCAAGTGGTCTATTCTGACTCCGAACTCCTTAGCAGTAGACGTTGGCGCCATAGCCAGCTGGCTGATCACTTCTGGAAGCATTTCATCCGTTTCTATCTGCCCAGCCTCCAGACCCGACAGAAGTGGAATGCTGAAAACCCAGATCTGCACATCGGCAGGACTGTCCTCATCATCGACCCACAGCTCCCTCGCTCACTGTGGCCAGTGGGTACTGTTATCAGCGTCTTCCCCGGCCTCGATGGTAAAGTACGATCTGCTGAAGTGAAGGTGGGAGACCGGTTGTACACTCGCCCTGTGGCTCGACTTATCCAGCTTCCAAAATTGTCAGACTAACCATCACCAGATGATCGGGAGCCTTTTCTTCTTCTGCAGATTCCTTTCAGTAATCTGGGGGCGGCTGTAAAAAGGCCCCCTTGTGGCTGTTAAGCATCAGACACTTTGACGTGACTCTCTCTCTCCTACTGTAAGATGCCTCGCTTCACCTGAACTTTTAGCCAATCGCAAGTTGATTCAGGATCGCTGCACGCGGAAAGCATTCTGTCAGAGACTTCGTCTGAAGCGCATCCTAGCCACACAAGCTCATTCGACTTCAACTTCAACTACATTATTCGGTGTGCGTCCTTACAAAACCACACTTCAATGTAGGGGTGTGCGATATGACGATTTTTAATCGTGGACGATTAAAATGTCTCCACGATCTGCTTTTGAAGAAATATCGTAGTATCGTGTTACAGTGCATTCTATCAGTTCAGTTCTGGCGTCCCGTGCGCAACGTACGCGCACCGTACGCGACGCAGCCTACACATCACACGTTAATGAACAGGTACGGGACACTGCAATTCACAAAAGTTAATTATTTGCATAAGCCTTGCCGGTTAAACATTTAATTCACGCGCTGATGTGCTGTTCTAACGTGCGCTTTCCTGACCGCATAAATTACCCACGACAATCACAGGCACTAGAAGCCTGTCAAACAGCGCCTGAATACTGGACTAAGTTATCTTTCGAGTCTTATTATGCTAATACTGTTAAATACACACAATGTTTACATAAACAGGCTATGTCTAAAGTGAAAGCAAACATTTGAGAGAATATCTGGTGTAATATGCGTCTATATTAAACGCGTCGCGTGCTGGTCTAAAAGCAACAGGAATAAATAGTACTGCCGCACGTCCTTAAAGGGATAGTTCACCAAAAAAAAAAAAAATAATAATCTGTCATTATTTACTCACTCTAATGTTGTTACAAACCTGTATTAATTTCTTTCTTGTGCTGAACACAAAAGAACGATTTTTTTTTTTTTTTATGTGGGTAACCAAACAGTTGCTGGTCCCCATTAACTTCCAGGAGAGAACCAATAAAAAACTATAGGGGGACCAGCAACTGTTCGGTTACCCACATTATTGAAAATAACTTTTATTTTCAACAGAAGAAAGAAACTTATTCGGGTTTAAAACATCTTGAGAGAGTAAATTAAGACCATTTTCATTTTTGAGGGAACTATCTCTTTAGTAAAAGAAAAAAAACACAAGGAGAAAATCACTCACTGACTGAGAACTTTAATAGTAGCTTTAATAAGAATCAATTTATTCAGTGAAGTCTCTGTAGTGTTTTAATTTCATATTTGTTTAATTTAATTACTTTCTTCAGTGCTACTGCTAAATACACCTAGTGCATCTGAAAAATAAAGCACTATTTATTTAATTTGAATATTAATTTGTGTAATGTTTATCTTGTCTTATTTTTTTAATAACAAAGAAAATAATGACAAAGATTTTTATCTTCGCCACTGGCCTAAATGTATGCCTTTCTTTTTTATTTTGTTACCTAAGGCTTTGTTTTTAACATAAGGACATTAGTTTGGCTGTAATGAACAGCCACTTGCAAAATATTAAAACCAACTTGAAAAAGAATCGTGATAAAAAATCGTGATCGTGATTTTCCTAAAAAAATCGTGATATGATATTTTTTCCATATCGCCCACCCCTACTTCAATGTACCAATTCAATCATGCAGTTGTGAATTCAATAAATACTTCAAACGAAGAAGTCTTGTGTGATTCTGACCGATCACCCGCTGTGAGCTCTAACTAACGATCCACCAACTATTTAAATCAAAGAAGCCAGTCCTCTTCTGTACAGACTGAGTCAAGAACCCTAGTGTTTTATACACAGAACTCCATTCCACCTTTATTAAACATGGGAAATTAAACTCAGCCATAAAAGGAACAGAAAAACTTCAGCATAAGAGTCTCTGAAGAGAAATAAACCATAGCCGTGACAGCAATGATGAACATTCACAGTTTATCAAATCTATAAATATATACAAGTATCATAATTTTCTTGTACTTACTGTGTGGCTGATCATCATCTGTTTCTCTGCCCACTGCAAAACACGACAGGAAAACACAAACTGTGAGTGAATCTGGTGAACATTATTAGGTGCACTACATGCTTTTAAAATGATAAAGAATTAAGATGTCTAATCTACATACATAAATGATTTAATTCATAAAGGCATTTAATTCATCTTCATCACCAACTTTTTTCTTCTTCACTTCTGCTATAGCTTGTGTGCTACTAATTATCTACAATCGGCATTTCACACACACACACAAAGTTACAAAAGCTGTCACTGGGACGGTACACTTATGTAAAGTACACTTCACCACCTTTTGAAAAGGTACCGCCCCAGTGACCGTTTTCTGCTCAACACTGCTGCTACTTGTAAAATTATTTTCTTTATTTATTTTTTTATTTATTAAACAGTCAAACATACATACAAACCAACATACAGTAGTGAGCAATCTTGTAATTCCAGAAGTGACATATGTGATTTAAGTGTTTGATCTAAGTGTGTATGTGAGTGGGTGTGAGTGTGTGTATGCGTAAACAAAGTAACCATTTATTATTTATTGCCATTGTCATTACCATCACCACCCTCACTCCCCACTACCACCATATTGCCAATATTGTATTAGTCGATTTTTATCCTTTCTTCTATGTACCAATTGCCATTGTCAACCCTGTATAAAATAAAAGATGATATAATAAGATAATATATGATAACCTTCCCCCACATCTCTTCAGTCCCTATCTTCTCTTTTTTTGTGTGTGTGTGTGTGTGTGTGTGTTATGTGCAATGTCTAAAGTGCATTAAAAGAGGGAGTACAGTGCAAGAATAATTATTTTCTTTAAATGCCTTACTGTCGGGCCGAAGAAAAACTATTACTGCCTGCTGCAAAACACAAAAACAAATTGCCACAACATATAAAGTTTTTTGACAGGAAAAAAGCAACTTGTTCTTGGATCAATATCATCTTAATTTTGATGGTCCAACACATTGGTTGACTATAAGTAACGTTGCACCAATCTGTCTGCTAAGGGTATTAGAGAATTAGCAGAGGCGGACAGAGTACACAGCTTTATTACTTGAGTAAAAGTACAGATACCCCTTGCTAAATCTGACTCAAGTACACGTAAAAGTACTACAGTCAGAGGTCTAATTAAGTAAAAGTACTGAAGTACTTCTTTTTAAAAGTATCAAGAGTACATTTTTTAAATATTGCATTAATACTGTCACAGATTTATGTACAGAAACGTCCTACATGGAGTTATGAAAAATGTTAATGTTAATACCTTGGAAAATGTAAAAAGAATTCAAAGCAAATCAAGTCATATTAATCTTGTTGCCATGTTGCTTTATTTAACATTTAAGAAAATTCCAGAAAATTTTGAAAATAGAAATAGTCTGGTGAGGTGGGGCCACACCCACAGGGGTCGGCATATTCACGAGATGGATGATGATGATGGACCTGCTGCGTCTCCATCCATTGTTTTGTCTCGAAATCTGACTTTGGCGTAAAGCTGAAGGTGATTGCTGATATAGCATCAGAACAAATAGTTAGATATTTGATGGTCAAAAGAGACCATCAAAGTCATATGTTACCCAATCTTGTTGATCCTTGAACTTCTGAGTTCATAATCTGTCATACCAATGTCACACCCATTTTGTTTGAATCACACACTTATTTTATCAGATTTTATTATTTAGGGCCCAAGCCCTGAAAGGGCGAAGGCCCTATTGTTTTCCTAAGGATTATTAGGGCCCAAGCCCTGAAAGGGCGAAGGCCCTATTGTTTTCCTTCCGATTATTTTTTTTTTAGGGCCCAAGCCCTGAAAGGGCGAAGGCCCTATTGTTTTCCTTGGGATTATTATTCTTCAGTATTATTATTATTTTGCTACCTTTTGGGCACTTTTGGGGCCCTTAACGTGCTCGAAAACTCTTGAAACTTTGCACACGGGTCAGAACCCGCGGCCATCAGAGCCGGGCTGAAGATGGTACCCGGGCGTGGCAGGGCGGCTCGTCAGCGCCCCCTGGAACGGGGTCCGAACACTTGGTCCATAACTCAAACACGCTTGTATGTAATAATATGAAACTCGGTACACATGTTGATCTCATCGTTTCATCTATACCTCGCGCTCTTACTTTTTACCCCAGCCCAACAGGAATTTGGCTATTGAGGTTTGTTTGTAAAACGCTCGCAATGGAATGTCAAATACTCCTCCTAGAGCTTTGATCCACATTCGACGAAACTCGGTCAGCGTGAGGTCAAGACATTGAGGATGAAAGTTTGCGAGGGGATTTTTGATATCTCGAACGGTTTGTCCGTGGCGAGGAAACGAAATCATGGCGAGAAACGTGAAACAGGAAGTGTGTTATAACTTCAGCATACATTAACTGATCTTGATGAAACTTCAGCAGTGTGTTCGCTGTAAGAGGACGATCACATGGATGTGACTATTGTGAGTCAAAGTTATAGCGCCACCAACTGGCAGCAGGAAGTGTGTCACTTTCAAAATGCTTAGATATCACCCTTTTATTTTTACCCGATTTGCTTCAAACTTCATATGTATAATGTAAACATACGGCAGATGTAGACCTGTGAATGGATTCTTGATATCTTTGAAACTGTTGCCGTGGCGACGCATCAAACTTTACCCTTCTTTTAGGATGCTTTTAGGATGCTTTTGAGACCCTTAACATGCTTCAAATTGCATGAAACTCGACAGACACATCACATTTATTAGCCAGTAGACATGTGCAAAGTTGCAGAAACGGGCGTGGTGAGGGCTCAGTAGCGCCACCTTTTGACAAAAGTGGGGTGGTTAGTTTTAACTAGAGTTACAAAAATTGGTATGTATATTGTACTCCTCGAGCCGGACAACTGTCTAATTGACACTTATTAGCTAGGACCCACAGAAAGTCAGATATTTTTGTTTGAATATGGCCACTCTGAGCCTTTGGCTGGCTGGCTGGCTGTCTGTGTGTGTGTGTGTGTGTGTGTGCAGGGGGAGGGGGCTTAACCATTTCACTGCTGTGTGTATGACCTGCATAAAGAAAATACATTTCTCAAGCCTGGTATTTTTTAAATAAGTTTTTATTTTTATTTTTTATAAGTAAAGGCATATAACTAGTTTAATTGTAGTGAATTGACAATAGTTTTATATAATTAGTTTATTAATCAGATTAACTTGGTCAATAAACTTGGTCTGAAAATTTGGTCCATAAATCAAACACACTTGCATGTAATAATATGAAACTTGGTACACATATAGATCTCATCGTTTCATATATACTTCACACTCTTACTTTTTACCCCAGCCCAACAGGAAGTTGGCTATTTAGGGTTGTGTTTAAAACACATGCAATGTAATTTAAATTATTGCTCCTAGAGCACTGAACCAAATTCGACGAAACTCGATCAGCGTGAAGTCAAGACATTAAGGATGAAAAAGTGCCACGGGATTTTTGATATCTCGAACGGTTTGGCCGTGGCGAGGAAACGAAATTATGGCGAGAAACATGGAACAGGATGTGTGTTATAACTTCAGCATACATTAACTGATCTTGATGAAACTTCAGCAGTGTTTTCGCTGTAAGAGACCGATCACATGGATGTGACTATTGTGAGTCAAAGTTATAGCGCCACCAACTGGCAGCAGGAAGTGTGTCACTTTCAAAATGCCGTGGCAACGAAACAAACTTTAACATTATTTTTTGATGCTTTTGGGACTCTTAGCTTGCTTGAAATTGCTTGAAACTCAACAGATACATCACATTTATTAGCCAATAGACATGTGCAACTATGGCAAAAGATTAAAGTAATGTCAAAAAAGTAAACACTAAAAGCCTCATATCTTCTAAAAATGTAATTATACATCATTTGTTTCTAAATTAAATTATACAAATATTATAACTTCCCCAATTTTTCCTTTTTTTTCATTTAAGAATTGTGTTTACGTTCAAAAACAGCCAGAATTGTTGTAAAATTCATAAAAAAATAATAATCTGAGTCATACGTAGTGCTATACTGCCCTCTTGTGTTCAATATCAGGTAGGCCTATTGTGTATATTCCCACCGGTTAATCAACGTGTGACTCCGCTGGGACTTGGGAGCTTTTAAATCGCTTACTTAAAACCGAAAGTCAAAATACGGATGTCCGCACAAGACATTAATGGTGTGGAGTAGAGCGAGCATTTTAAATAAATTCCTATTAAGTAGGATTGAACTAAACAGAAAGAATGTTCACTCTGTTCTGCTGGTTCCTCGCTGGTGGATCATATGATTACTTTGTCATAATCTATGACAAAAATGCTATTATAAACCATATTAATAATAGATAATACACATTGCTCTTATTTTTGAAAAATACATTCATGAAAAACAAGATAACAAAAATCATTAAAAAAAAATATAGCCATGGCTGCTATAAAGCAACATATAATTGAAAGGCAATTAATAATCTGTCATTACGTCACTGCATTATGATATTACGGCTCCAATACGGTGCAGCACAAAGCACTTATGTGCATCCCGAGCGGAGAATGATGTGCTTGAAGCCACATGAAGTTACAGCGCATTGAGTCCGTATTGAAAAGTTCAAAGCACAAAGGAAATACATATTTATGAACAGTGTATTATACATTATCTATCTATGCAATAGTTTATTGAGCCTTTTCTTTTAAAGGTTTTAAATTTCAGTTACTGTGTGCGTGAAGAACAATTATAGTGCTCTGACTCTAGTGTTGTGATCTAACCGACAGCGTCCGACACCCGGTAGAAAGTAACACGATTAAGTTACAGCAATAAAGTCCAGCAAGAAAAAGTTTCTTCATTCGAAAATATAGACCTTTAGACCTTTATCTTAAAGATCCAGTATAATAGAATTAACATTCAATCATCTTGAAGATCGTTTCATCATTGACTGTAACCGAATGTGACGTGCTGTTTGAATGCTGAATGGAGAATGACTGACAGGCGCAGAGAGGGAAAAGTTTGTGTTCTTGAATTTAATGACTTAAATATTAATTTCTATATCACATAATAGCTTCAGAACACTAATAATAACAGTACACAAAAACTTTATGGTACTTTAGAAAGTTTTTGTGCCTTTGTGCCTAACAGAATAGTATATGCACAATATAGAATTTGAATCAGCCTCGTCAAAGATGGCAGTGTCAGAGCCGATACCGATCCTGAGTATCTAATCGGCGCACTTCTTTTCAACAGTCAAATTGAAATTGAAATTGCTTGAAACTCAACAGATACATCACATTTATTAGCCAGTAGACGTGCAAAGTTTCAGAAACGGGCAATGTGCAAGGACTAAATAGCGCCACCTTTTGACAAAAGTGGGGTTGTTAGTTTTATCTACAGTTACAAAAATCGGTATATACATTGTACTCCTCAAGCCGGACAACTTTCTAATACATAGTCATTAGCTCGGACCAAGAGGAAGTCAGATATTTTGGTTTGAATATGGTGAGCCTCTCTCTGAGCCTACGTCCCTGTATGGCAAGCCCTTTTAACATTTAAAAGCTAAGTTTGCCTGTCCGGAATTAACATTGTAGATATCAACAACGTCTTTCTGTCTATTCGTAATTACATTTTGGATAGTTTGTATTATCATTTAAGACATCTGTAACATAATTGTGACTAGTCGAAATGACAGAGTATGGCAAGCCGTTTTAACATTTAATCATAAAAGGGCCAAAGCCTTCGGCACCGCTACCCGGGTGCCTTTAGGTAACTAAAGGAACCGGGGTTGCGGTGCCACCGGCTTGGGCCCGCCATCGCTGCTCGCAGCTATATTTTGTTTATGTATTTACTTACAGCGAAAGAGATATAACATTCAATAGATCAGTGCTTGCTTGCTTTTTTCTTTTCTTTCTTTTTTTTTAATTTTCAAATAACGGAACATTTTTAGTTAACTGTCTCAATCTTCATCTCAATCTTCCTCTTAGTTCCTCATCGTCACTGAACGACGTGAACGAAGTGACGGAGGTTATTATTCCGGAAGACTCTGAAGTTTTGATTTTTACCAAATGTATATCTACCAGTTTTAAACTAACTGAAATTATGCGATGCATGTATTACGATGTGCAAATGATCGTAAACAAATGACCTACTTCCAGCAGAAACGAATCTCTTTTTTTTTACACTGAAATGTCATTGCCTTAGAAGAATTGTTTTTAGCTCTGACACTGTATCTTTACGTTTTGGCATGCTAATGTAAATGTAGCCTACTACTATATATTAGTATATTGTTAACAAACCTTACCTGCACTGTGCGCCATTTTATGCTCAACACCTTGACGTGTACGAAACCGAAAGCAAAAAGATGACGTCACGATGAAGCCAGAACGAAACTCGCCTGATTGGAAGTTATGCAGATGTACAAAATGTATTTATTTATTTAGAAACATACAAAATACCAAACAACCCTCAAAATACATATCTTATATGATTACAAAAAAAAGTCACAAAACACATGTAAAAAACAAAAATAAAATAATAAAATATTACACAAGGGGGTAATCAACAAAAAATACCTTCAAAAGATTATATAGCCTAATTTGAGGGCTTTTTTGTTATGCACCAGTCTTGAAGATTTGAAGAAGATCATTAAATCTTTATGGAAAACTAAGAAAGTGGGAGGGTTCTTAAAGATTCTGCATTTATGAATGAAGTAATTGGCCATCAGCACAATATTGTTCACCAAAAATTCAAGACACAAGATCGTAACAAATATTTTATAGTTTTAAAATTAAAGCCAGGTATTAAAATGAATGTTCCACCGAGAAATGAATTGCTGATGTTGCATCATATGGTAAAATTAAATGTATAAGATCAGACAATGGAACAGTTTACATCTACTGTGTTTCAGTCATTGCTATAAGACATGAAACCTCAGCTCCTTACTCACCCCATCCAACATGGGACAGCTGAAAGAGCATGGAGGACTTTGTTTGAAATGGCAAGATGTTTGCTAACTGAGAGTAATTTACCAAAGGAGTTGTGGACATCTGCTATAATTAGAAACAGATGTTTTAATAGACGTCTGGGACAAACTACTCTCTGATAATTGGAAAAAAGCCTGACCTATCCAAAATGAGAGTGTTTGGGTTAGAGTGTTATGTATACAAGTATGATAATGGTTATGACAAAAACAGCCCTGCTTATCTTGTTTTCTATCCAGAAACAGGGAGAGTGCTCAAAAGTAGACTGGTGAAGTTTGTCATAAGAAGTACAAATGAAAGAGATTTTTACAAAATATGCCATGCACATCGCCAAACAAAATGGGCCCTAGCGCAACTTCGCACCCGTGCGGACGCAGCGAGTATAAATGAAGCTTGAGGCGCCAGAATGGCAGCTGATAAAATGTGCGCTGTAGTATGATACGATACTACCATATTTCTAGAAAAGCAGATTGTGGAGAGTCATTAACCATCAATGATCAAAACTCATGATATTGCATAAGCACAAGTCTATTAAGCGACTGTTATCATGTCTGAAAACAAACACAAGTTTACACAACTGTATTGCACACCTGCTACAGGGGTACAATCTACAGTATGTATGATTTAATTGGTCAGACGACACAGTTTCACCGCTGTCTGTTGATCTAATCCAATCATGGCGTAGAGTGGCTGAGTGAATGTGGCCTGGACTCTGTGGATGAGACTCATTGTGTCCGAGACGCTGTAGAAAGACAAAACCCCTGCGCTGTGATCCACATACACTCCTATTCTACTGGAGACATTGACTACAGGAAGAACCGTCTCAATGTTATTGTGCCAGAATGAACAGTAGTCTGGGGAGCAGAACAATCTCCAGGACTGATTGTTTCCTCCAGCTAAACTTTCAAGACCATTTCCCTTCCTGCTGATGCTCTTATATGTCACTCCTATGTCCACTCCTAATTTCCCTTCTCCAGCCCACTCCACCTCCCAGTAACAGCGTCCAGTCACACTCTCTCTACACATCGCCTCCGTCCAACAATCAAATCTGTCTTGATGTTTAGGATACGGCTGACGTGTGTCAGTGACGGTGATCCTTGTGTTTCCCTCAGACAGACGGAGCCAATAATTCACTGAGTTCAGATCCAGAGTCAACAGACGAGAATCTGATGGAGAGAAAAAACTCACAATTATTAGTGATCTTGTGTTGAAAAGTTTTACCTTTAACTGGCAAAATCATCTAAACCTCAATCCAGTTCAACCCATCAAGAAGAATTGCATTATGGCCACAACTATTTTGATAACTGATTTGTTTGATAAAAACACTCATATTTTCCTCATTATTTCATTTCCCCTCCTTATGTAATGTCATTCGAGGCAGAAATTTTGAGCACTTAAATGTGATCTCTGTATCAAACATGCTTGCTCTCCGTCTTTCAGCCCAGTGCTAGGATCTTTTAGATCTACATTATGTTAATAGAGATATAAAGGTTTATTTACAGAGATATAGGTTTGACCTTCAATAATAGCAGAGTGTATTCATGCTGTTGCTTGATTACAACCAAAGCCAAGAAGAAAACAACTGTAAACAACTGTTTTTACTACTGTAACATTTTTCAGTCAGTGTGAAAAATCCATCTAATCCATAATGAATGTTGATTTTAATAATTAATTTATCATTTGGTTGAAGCCGATGCTTTTTAAAACACAAAGTAATCAGTAATATAAACAGTACAGTCTTGTACTATTATTTAGCATAACAATCTCTAACTTGAATGGATTTAAGACTTAAATGTGTGTGTGTGTGTGTGTGTGTGTGTGTGTGTGTGTGTGTGTGTGTGTGTGTGTGTGTGTGTGTGTGTGTGTGTGTGTGTGTGTTTTCATAGTAACTCACACTGTAGAAACTCCTCTCTGGTCTGATATTCAGGAGACTGAATGACCTGGACGGTTTTCACTACGGACACCAAAACACATCTGCAGTTTAATTATCATATCAAGAGGAAACTAAATGTACAATATATAATATTAATTAAACTAATTTCTGAGCATTAATTTCTATACATTTAGAAGTACTTTTAAATGTTAGATTTCCATTGAGCGATCGCAATAATTTGTCTTTTTAAAATGTAATGTAAACACATTTTAGCAAAACTGGACAAACAGATCTGGATAATGCGATTGTAAGTCGGCATCGTCCAGCAGATATACTTGTTAATTGGCTAATTTGATGTCCCCACACTCCAAAGACAGAGGTGACGTGTGTGAAAGATTTACAAGCAAGGTATTTTACTCAGACAGACATATTAAGAAATTAGCATGACTATGCAAAACCTACAATAGCTCGATTGTTGCTCAAGTCAGTAAAACCTACTAAAGTACCTGTTCCAGATATGTTTTGTGTCTCCTCGCTGCAGAACTGCAGAAGTTTGTCTCTGAGTTGAGAGACAGATTTCACTACATCATCAAAAGACAGACGAGAACTGACAGTGAAGCCGTCTGTAGATCCAGAGAGAGAGACTGATGACAAACTCTACAGACACAAAGACAAAAACACAAACTCGCTGTAATTCCAGAAGCTTGTTAAAGTCCTCAGTGTTTGAGAAGATCTCTGTTACCTGGAGGAAATGAACATGATTGTGTGTGTGTGAAAGATCCTCCATCTCAGCGTCTCTCCTCCTCAGATCATCGATCTCCTGTATCAGTCGCTCCAGTCGTTCTTCAGCTCGACTCACTGCAGATCGTTCCTGATCTCTGATCAGCTGCGTCACCTCTGAGTGACGTCTCTCAATGGAGCGGATGAGCTCAGTGAAGATCCTCTCACTGTCGTCCACTGCCGTCTGTGCAGAGCGCTGTCACACACACACACACACTGGCTTCAATGAAGAGCTCCAGCACTGGAGGAAAGTCCAAACAAGCTTCTCTTCTTCTCCAAACTCACCTTATGAGACTCCAAAGCCTCTATCAGCTCCTGGAGATCTTCCTCTCTTTGCTTGATTCTCATCTGGATGTTTCTCCGTTTCTCTTCAAAATGTCTCTGCAGAAAACAGAAATATCAATAAATTTACACTACCATTCAAATGTTTGGGGTTTGATCACTCATCATGGGATCCAGTATGAAGCAGTACCTGTTTCTCTGTCCTCGCTGCTGCAGTTGATACAGTGTCATGACTCCTGTGTTCATCCACGAAACACAGCATACAGATACACAGCTGGTCGGTGCGGCAGTAAATCTCCAGTATTTTACCATGTTGAGGGCAGATCATCTCCTGCAGTCGTCCAGTGGCGTCCATCAGATTGTGTCCTTTACTTCTGAAGAGACTCTCATGCTGTTCAAGGTGAATTTGACAGTAAGAGCTTCGACACTCCAGACACGACTTCACTGCTTTCTGTTTATTTCCAGTGCAGGAGTCGCACTGCACATCTCCAGATCCAGTGTGAGGAACTGCAGGAGCAGATTGGAGTCTCGTAGCCTTGAGTTTCTCCACCATCTCAGCGAACACCACATTCTTACCTAAAACAGGTCTTGGTGTGAAGGTCTGGTTGCATAGTGGACAGCAGAAGACTCCCTTCTGATCCTCCTGATTCCAGTAGTCTGAGATACATCTCATACAGTAACTGTGTCCGCAGGGAATCGTCACTGGATCCTTCAGGAGATCCAGACACACTGAACAACTGAACTGATCCTGATCCACTGAAATATTGGCTTCTGCCATTTCACTAAAAAAAGCAGACAGAGAGAGATTATAATTTAGTTTATGCATGCTATGTTTGTGTTCCTTTAATTTACACGATTGCAACAGGTATCACTTTGATCACTCACACACTTTCTTTTTACTTGTTTAAAGCTGTAAAAAAAAAAAATCGAAAAAAAAAAAAAACTCATTGTCCCATCAAGTCAACATGATAAAATCAACAAGTCCTATACAAAAAAAATGTCCATATACATGCACACTATTCTCAGCTGGCAAGTCTGTTTAAAGGTAGATTAAAATAATTTCACAGCAATTTCGACTGATAAAAACCGTTGGTATGGTGAATTCAAAATGCAAATACGCGGGAGAGCCGAATCAGTGGATGGTGTAATATCGTTCCCAAGAGGATTTTTCACAAATTTCAAGACGTCAAATGGTGAGTAAGCTATTGCGTCCTGAAAATTTAAATTATTCTACAAACGTTTTAGAACCCAAAAGTTAGCAGAATATGGCCTCGTGTTTGTGTTTTCCCCACCCATAGCCTACATGAGCAGCGAGCATGAGTGAGGTAAAATGCAGCTTGAAATGCTTTAGTGACAGTAGCAGTATAACGTAGCTACCGTTAAACTAAACATTGTGTGTTTACTTACATGCACAAACGAATCCTATTTTTCTGTTTACTCCCGCTTCGATTCTGAAAAAAAACAGCGCGTTCTGCGAGCAAGTTAGTTGTGTGTTTTTGACTAGTTTAATAATTAAACGATCCGTCGATCAATCTATTTGATGTGTTTTAACGCTGCTGATCGATGAAACGAGCCGTGTAAAGTCGATGAGGTTGTGAGCACTTTCGGTTTTCCATGGAGTCACATGATTTACGTGAAATGAAAGTCACAGTTCTTAGTCAAGCCAAAGAAAAACCAAAACCTCTCATATTTTATATTATTAGACCTGATGTATTTCCATAATGTGCTTTATCTTGTGTTGTAGGCCTATTTTCAAGACAATGAATATATTATTAATTTAAGTAGGATGTTTTTGAGCTGAATGTGGCCATGCCAGTTGTCAGGTAATCACATCTTTATGAGCAATAAAATATATGATGAGAAACCTGATATTAATAACACCATATTAGATGTTAAATGAATCTGAATCATGAATTTGATTCTATGTATTCAAAGTCAGCAGGGTGTTAGGGTAAAAAATGTTCATTTAATGGTTGTTTAGCATCATTTAAAACACCAAGTAGCCTATACAACATAACAATATATCTTATCAGAGGAATCTATTTTAAATGTGAACACATGCAAAAGTATATTTTTTTCAACAGAGCTTAGTGCACTAAAACAGACAGAAACATCTAAAACGTGTTCTCTAGAAGTAGCAGAAGCATTGAGCTTTCAGAAACCAATAAATCCTGTTGGTTGAGAAGTTAAAGATGTCTTTAACTGTGGTCAGAGAAAAATATGCACACAATGTTTCAGCAATGCAGAACTCATTTATTTTAAACAAACAACTGAGTCAGCCAAAGAGAATTGACAGACTTGTATTTTATGAAAATAGAGGAAAATAATACACTTTTGATATACAGAGGCTACATCAAGTTTGAAAACCCTTAAAAAAAAACTAGCTCGTTCAGACTAGAAAACATGGCTCATGACATCATCATTCTGCGAAGTAACAAAGCCCCTAGAAGATCTGGATTAAGAATATGTAGAATATCTGAATTATTTACTCGGTTAGACAGTTTCACCGCTGTCTGTCTGTCTAATCCAAACACAGCATAGAGTGGCTGAGTGAATGTGGCCTGGACTCTATGGATGAGACTCATTGTGTCCGAGACGCTGTAGAAGGACAAAATCCCTGCGCTGTGATCCACATACACTCCTATTCTACTAGAGACATTGACTACAGGAAGAACCGTCTCAATGTTATTGTGCCAGAATGAACAGTAGTCTGGGGAGCAGAACAAACACCACGACTGATTGTTTCGTCCAACCACACTTTCAACACCATCTCCCTTCCTGCTGATGCTCCTATATGTCACTCCTATATCCACTCCTGATTTCCCATCTCCAGCCCACTCCACCTCCCAGTAACAGCGTCCAGTCACACTCTCCACACACATCGCCTCGGTCCAACAATCAAATCTGTCTGGATGATCAGGATACGGCTGATGTGTGTCAGAGTAAGTGATCACTGTGTTTCCCTCAACCAGACGGAGACAAGGATTCACTGAGTTCAGATCCAGAGTCAACAGACGAGAATCTGATGGAGATACACACGTAATCACTCACTTGACATTATACAAATATTTCAACATATTAATGGATCTATGCATTAGGATCATAATTTCATAATAATTATAATTTGACATGTCTCAGTTCATGAAACTCAGTTTCACTTCAAGCAAAACATGGGCTGGGCCCATAAAATGATTTTGATAAATTGATCAATCAGATTTAAAAACAATGATCTCCTTATTTTACATGAAAA